TTTAAGACATTTTTATGTTTATAGATTCTTTTTATAGATACGAATATTTAAAAGAATGTATAAACATAAAAATGTCTTAAAATAATTAATCCATTTCATAAGATATATATATATAGTATGTGTATATTAACCACTAATATTATCTATCTATCTATCTATCTCTCTCTCTCTCTCTCTCTATATATATATATATATATATATATATATATATATATATATATATATATATATTAATACAAACGCGCTACTAAATATTTATTAGATTAAGTTAAACCGCAAGTAATTTCGTTTTGTGGGCGGGGATCAAATGTAATATTCTCACTAACCGCTCCTTAAATATACTATAACATGTGATGAAAACTGGGTTGCATCCGGCAGTTGTCAACGAAACATGCAATGGTTTGACATGGGAAAATCTCCACAACCGATTCCGAAACCTTCTTGGAAGAAATTTAATATTGTACATGTAGCAAGATCATTGTTGCATTATCCATGTAGAATTCTGAAACACTAAATGTAAAATTACAGATCCAGCAGCTACAACATGTCCATAAAAGCTTGATCCAAAATAGACCTTCGCCCATTAGCAGGAGAATTCTCTTTCTCCTCTATAGCCATGAAAGTATAAAACGTGAAGAACATTTGGTAATTACTTGCACCGTTCTATTCACCTGACCTCGCCTCAACTGATTATTAATTATTTTGATTGATGAAAAACGTTTTGATGGCGAAAACTTCCTGTAATGAAAACCAGATTCAAGATTTCGACGATAGTTTTCCCTATAAAACCTGCGAAATTTTATTCAAAAGTTTCGAAGATCTAACTAATAATCGACAGTAAGACATTGCAAACAACGAGGCGCATATAACTGAATAAAATGTAATTGTACTTTACTTCTTCAAGAGTGAAGTTGATAAACAAAAGCCGTAATTATTCATGACTCAACGTAATTGAATTGAACTGAAAACAGTTGTACTTTAAACTTTGCTGTGATTTATTTGTTCATAGACTTCAAGAATGTGTTCTTCTTTTCCATTTCCAGCCAGCTTTGCCGCCTAAATCGAAAACTCTATAAATAGTCTACCAAAGATTCACGAAAAAAAAACTAGCAGGATGAACTACCCACCTGAAGAATCCGAAGAATGTATTTACCAAAAGACAGAAAGAATGAATCTAATTTGTCCAAACAACTTCTCTCTTTTTTTTTTTTTTACTTTTTTTTTTGCGGGGAAAGTTCACACACCGGGAGCTGGTCCATCCATTTTGGTGCTCCTGCTATACATTTAGAGAACTTCCAGCTGTCGGTTTGCTGCTGAAGCCACTGAAATATAAACAAGTGATTTTGCACTCGGAAAAAAAATACCTGCTGGTAATCAGTAATCATCCAATTATATTACCTTCATGTGAATAATTCAATTAATAAAATTATCTCAATTAAAATCATATCTGAAGCTCATTCATACGTACCTTATTCGTTTCTCTTGTTTTGGTTTCTAATTATTTGCCACGTTTGTTCAGGACGTCGGCAATCACGGTTCTCCACATCATTCTCTTCTTTTATACTACAGGGTGCCTCACAAAAAAAATAAAAACAGGAAATTTGGTAGAGTTTATTTAATTATTGGAATTTTTTCTGGAGTTATTTAAAACAAAAACAAAGGATAGAAATCTTGTAGTTTAAAACAGAACAAAAAACACAAAAGTTAGTTGTGCTGTTCTAACTAAAATATTATATATTAGTTAATTTTTTTTTCATCAAATAATAAATCTAAAATTTCCTGATTTTTGGTGGGGTACCCTGTATAAGAAATGTTCGTTTATTTACAAACTCTGCTTTTTCTTTTATGTACTCGTTTTGTCATTTATTTGTTCATTTTCATTAGAGATGTTTCCCTGGTGCATTCTCCTGCCTCTCTTGCCTTCATTATATCCCGTGAGTATTCAATTTTCCAAACCTTCTTTCCTCACTTTTCCTCCTCTAACTTAACAGTTTCTTGCTGTTTGCCAGGAGCAATTAATCTGTCGCTCCTATTTTTACAACTTCCTTTTTTTTTTCACATATTTTAGAATCATTTCATCCGAAGCGAGGCAATAAAGCCACTAAGATGCAAGTGGCTACTGAGTGTTTGTACGTGAAAAAAATAAAAATACTATTAAGAAAAAAGAAATATTAAAATAAACAAGAATTAAGAAGGCAGAAGATAGCGATTGACATTACATTTAAATTTTGGAAGATCAAAGTAGACTGGGATGCTAGAAACCTGAAGAGAGCTGAATAAGCGTGAAGTGCAATGGAAGAAACTCTTAGCATAGAACTTACAGTTACTTCTAGCCAATTCAATTGTAAAATGGTGAGACCTAATTGCCAATCTAGTACTGCGCTTAAATTCATAAAGTAAAGTTCGTCAAAACAATTACCATGATAGTATTTATAGAAAAGTGACAAGGAAAGCTGCATAACGACGGTGGGAAATGACTAAATCCAGGTCAGGGCCAATAAAATTGCAGATACTTCTATGGATTTTATCAAGAGTCTCTAAATGTATAGCAGGAGCATCAGACCAGATGTGGCAGCAATATTCAATGTATGAGCGAATAGTAGACTTATAAATATTTAAGAAAGATTTTAGAGAGAAAAAATATGTAGCCTGATATAGTGGACCAACTTTCCTAGCAATTGATTCAATATTTTTTTCTGTTTATGTCAGCAGAATTATTTTAGCGCGAGAAGGCACAGCGAGTCACTTTCGTGGAGGTTAGCATCAGCCATACTGACGATAGGTAGAAAGGATCTCTGTCCAAGATGTTCTTCTCTAAATCTAAAGTTTTCATTGCTCTACAGAAGATAACACATTATAGAGCACTTAGCAAATCTTTCTTCATTAGAAATTTTATTTCCCCTCATAACTTAATCAGTTTCTGAAAACATGTGCCTGCTTTATGCTAATGATCTGCCTAAGTGATTATGTATAAAACGAAAGAACGGTATATGTGCACCTCCAAAAATTTAGATGATCAGCTATTGCCATGGAAAATGTTCAGACAAGCTACATTCCTTATTTCCCCCAATTCTAACCCTCCCAAATAAGATCCGCTTCATATTCCATTAGTAAGGAGTAAGTTTCACTCAGATATCTTATTCCCAGGAACTGTTGTTTGTCGAGAATAATCTCGGGAGGACGTTTTCCAGACTACACTCTTAACCTCTTTAAGTCTAGGGTTAACCGAATTCTTTGCCACAAATCCGCATAATCCATGCCCTTCACACTTGCCTTCAGTAACTCTCTATTTTATAAAGTGAACATCAGTAAAACAAGCGACTTTGAATTTTATTTTATATTTTATGTCGTCTTTTACAATATAAGGTATATATTTAATTTCTACATTTACTTGATTTTGATGCCCTCGATAAGTACCTAGCAACTTGAGTTCTCTTTTCTGCTAGCAAATCAAATTCTGTCTTCTTTCAGTCTATAGTTAATCCTTGTGTGTTAAATCTTTTCAATTTGTTATCAGCACTATGCTGTCTGTATAGCAGATGTTGTTAAGGTTACGTAGGCTTTTCAATGCTCATTTTGCCGTAGAGGTTCGTCTTGGGCATGACGATAAACTACATCCGGCTGCAAGGCCTTTGAACGTGAGGTTTTAAGGAGCGTAGAGCCACTTCTTTCCTAGATCCACCCTGACCCAAAGTGGTAGCACTTGTTACGGTCCCAGCTATGGAGAAAATAGTGAACCACCAAAACTGGGGTCAAAACAGGAAAATATAAAAATACATTAGAAAAAATTACCAGCAATAATTTTTTTTTTAAATTACCAAAAGTCACAAAAAAATAAAATTTTGGCATTAAATGACCCATAAGGAGTTGATATGACATTAAACAAAAAAATCAAACCGTAAAAATTAAATAAATCCTGTGAGAAAAGATATCCTTGTTGCCTGCGGCATACTTGGCGTTTGTACAATTTGGTGACCCCTTTAACCACTAATCCAAAACTGGACAACATTTACAAAATATAAAGAAAGATTACAATTTACGATCATCAGACTAAAAGTAAAACCAGCAACAAAAACAAAGAAAATAGAAATCGTTTTAAAAGAATTATATATCTAACTTACATGCTCTAATTTTTGCCCTCATCAGGCACATGTTTAACTGGATAATCTATAGAAAATTTCGAACTAAACCCTCTATTTAATCTACGCAGTTAGGTTGTTCTCGTTCGATTGCCCATATCTATAGATATCTACTTCTTATTTATTATAACCCAGTTATTGCTATTGGAGTTTTAAACCTAACCTGCCTGCTGATTACTGTTTCTGCTTATCATGTTTGACTGCATTCACAAAAACTTCGCTTTTGTAACAGCTACTGCAGTTGAAAGGCTGCTACCATTTGTCTCTCTTTAGTAGTGGCTCGAACGTTACCCAGTTCTATACACCCCTGATGAGAGCAAAAATTAGATCATGTAAATATGCTAAATGATTATCTACAGAGTAATTCCTAGCATGGAGGAGAAGATGATCCATCTAGTCCTTGTAGCTGTGGCAAAAAATATAAAACTGAAACTAGCCACCCCATAAAAGCAGAGGTGGGAGAACATCGAAAAGCCGTAGTGAGGAGAGAGACAATTAAATCAAGCATGGCTGATCATGTATAGAAGAAAAATGGTAACCCATAGGGAATTTCGAACTAGACCCTTTATTTAATCTAAAGGGTTAGATTGTTCTCTAGGGATATTTAGCTCTTATTTAGTATTGCTCAGTTATTGCTGTTGGCTCTTGGGACAGTTCTATGCGGAGAACTTGGAGCTTAAAACCTAACCTGGCTGTTTGAGAGTACTGCCGCTGCTTGTCAGGCTTGACTGCACTCACAAAACTATCGCTTTGAAAGGCTGCTGCAATTTGTCTCCCTTTAGGCGCGGTTCCCATACTAGTATTTTCACTTTATTTAATAGGGGTTGATGATTACCCTTTTCCTTCCATACATGCTCATCCATGCTTGATTTAATTCTCTCTCCCCGCCTCTCTCTCTCTCTCTCTCTCTCTCTCTCTCTCTCTCTCTCTCTCTCTGTCTCCTCACTACAACTTTTCGATTCTCCCGCACCTCTGCTTTCATGGGGTGGATAGTTTAAGTTTTATACACTTTTTTTGCCACAACTGCAAGAAATAGATTGCACACAGTACTTGGCCATTTTCTCTTGTGTGCTAGCCATTACTTAGTAGATATTTATCCATAAAGTAAAGCTGCTTCTTTTCCGTTAAGCCCGTGAAGTATGGAAGACGGATTGTGTTAATTTTCTGGTCATCCTGTAATTTTCTGGTTCTTCTGATTCTGCCTACAGATGCTGATGGTATATTTGCAGTAGTTGTTATGCTGATGGTATGTTTGATACTGATTATTTTCTATTGGTGGCTGTATCACCACTTTTGTTTTTTGCTCGGTGTTGTAGACATTGGACGAGCACTTTCTTCGCACTGTATTGATGGTGGGGATTGAGGTTTAGATTTGCCCGGTAAAGGATGACTTGTGATTGGAACGGAGTGAGGCTGGGTTAAATATTTTTTTACTGAACCTGTCAGCGTAATAATACAAACAAATATCGGTTCTGTTTCTCTGAGTACCCCATTTGGATTTTGGGTTGGGATTTTGCCTGCAATCCTTTCGGTGTCCTTATGACGATAAACTACATCAGGCGAGGAGGCCTCTGACTGGATTATTGAAGGTTTTGAGAAGCGTGGAACCACTTCTTACTTTCTGTTGTACCCAGGTCCACCATAATCCGGGGTGGCAGTACCTGTTAGGGTCCCAGTTATGGGAAAATAGTGAAGCTCCAATCAAAAACACTATGAAAGGATAAAATACATTTTTATAGTAAATGAGCAATGGTGAGAGGAAAAAGATAATTCAGGCCTTCAGTAATGGTGCCAACATTTAAACTCTGGCTTCCATCTTCAAAGTCCATTCAAGAATTTTCACGATAACTATGAATAAGTTTTTTTAAAAAAAAGGAATCAGTAGAGAGGAAAATTGAATCAGGCGGTCACAACAGGAAGAAGGATCATCATTTCAACTTAGAACTAAAGAAATCAATTAGAAAAGATCCAACTCAATCTATAAGACGTTTGGTACGGGAGAGAGGAGTTTCAACTTTGACAGTCGAAAAAAAAGTGAAAACGACTTAAAAGAAAATCGTACGTGAAAACTGTAAGGCAACTTGTCTCTTCAAGACAGAAAGTTAGAAGGCTAGAGAGGGCGAAAATCATCGTAATAAGTAGGAAAATGATCCTGAAATCATATATATATATATATATATATATTTGATTATCATTTCATTCCTTCATGATCTTTAGCTATGATTAATTAATAATGAACATGTCATTTTCGTTTATGATCGATTTCATCACTATTCTTCAGTTAAGCTTGGGAAATAATTATAAATTCTTATTGCTCAAGGTAGAGTCCGATAGCGTTATAAAAACTTCGGAGAATTCTAGTAAGATATCTTTAATCATTTCTAAGATACAACGGTTCCGAGCTTAATCTAACAGTTGAACAATTTTGCTGTTTCACGATTTGGGCAATTTTGCTGTTATACAGTAAAAGTCCTCATCTCCGAACTTTTTAGTGTTGCCATTTCGATGTTCTTTTCTTTGCAGATAATTGTTAGCGACGTGAAATTTCTCAGACTCTGTCTCGCACAGAAGAAACTTCAGCTGGAAGAAAAAGGTAAAGAAATTCTTACACGTTACATCAAAAATGAGAGATTATTGAAAAACTGGACGAACCTCCTAAGGCGTTGAATTTGCAAATTAACAAACAAGGATTTCAGAATCTGAACGAAACTCTAAAACTTGCGCTTGAAGATGATCCACTGAATAATCTCACTTCGGATGACTTAAAAGAATTGGTAAATGAAGAAGATTAAGGAATTACAAAAGAATTCAACGATAGAATCTCTTCAAAATGATTTGGATTGTCAAGAAATAGAGAAAGAATCAAATTCTTCTGGTAATTGTGAAAATATGAATGATGATGATGAAGACTGGAACTCAGTAGAGAAATCTATTGATGAGGCCATCAAATTCATTGAGAGAAAACAAATCTTCGTTAAGTCGTATAGAATGTAAAAGTGTACGCAACTTGCAGAAATGCCTTACTTTAAAAACAAAACAAAACTAGAACAGCGAAAAGTAATCGAAATGAGAAATAAAATAAAAAAAACAACTGAAAAGAAAACTTACTAAGCATTAAAAATTACAAATTAATATTTACTTTCGTGAGAAAAATAATTTTTTCGTATATTGCGATAAATTCTTGTGTTTTGTTAAGTTAGATTTATATGACACATGCTGCATAATATCCGAACCCGTCCTCATACATAAACTACTTTGAAGTTCGGATATGGCGATGTTTACTGAATATATAAAAGATTAATAACAAATAGTTGTAAGGTGAGGATTTTCGCCATACGCGAAATGTTTTAATACTGTTTATTATAAACAGCATATACTTAAATATTTGTATCTATAACAAAAAAGAAATATATATATATATGTGTGTGTGTGTGTGTGTGTGTGTGTGTGTGTGTACTAGCAGCATGGCCCGGTGTTACCCGTGCTTGATTCAAAAATCATACAGCAATATAACTTAAAATATTTTGCCCTTCCTTGCCTTTAAAGGAGTGCCCTTTGGCGTGCTGATGTTGCTACGTGCCTTACTTCTTGCCTATATCACACTGCGAATGCAGCTATCGTTTTTTTTTGTTTTTTTTGCATGCTAGCATGCTAGTTAACATTCGTGTTAGTCAGCTGTTGGCTCTCACGCTGGCCAATAGAATCTTCCTGCCTATTCGTGGCAGCCAGTTATAGGCTCTCACTCTGGCCAGTGGAAAATGGCCGCAAACTACATGAAAACTGCCGTAGAAACATGAAAAAATCGATTATTTCCACTATCGATGGGAGTTGGGAAATGCAAATATTCGTGCCCGATTAGAAAATTACAAACAAAATTTGACATACTCAGAGAAAACATTTATTAGTCAAGTACATCGTCTCCATTGTTTGAACAACTCTCTCTCAAGATTCTACATGCATATTGGTGTCATTTTCAAAGAAAATTCATGTTTTTTGTTGGAAGTAAGTTGTGAGGTAGTCTTTCAATGATTGTAGAGAGCCAATTCCTTTGTCATTTAAATTGTTCTGTAGAGACCGGAACAAATGAAACTATGAAAGAGCCAAGTCGGAAGAATACAGTGAATGCTGATGGGTTTCACCATTTCAAATCTTTAATTTTCTGCAAGGATTGATTTGCAATATGCAGTATTGCATTGTTGTAGTGGAAAGTAACACTTTTTTCGATTTGCTAAAATCGGACACTTTCCTTGAATATTTGTATTGAAAGCATTGAAATTGGTAAGTTGGCTGTAACACTTCTTTGAAGTTATTGTCTTGTCTTTTAGAAGAAGCTTAAAATGAATTATCCCTCTGCAATTCCACCAAATAGACAGAAACACCTTCGCAAGATGCAAGCCCGCTTTAGCCACGAGTTCTGCACATTCAGAAGATTGTCTCCAGCTCTGTTATCATAAAAAATCACTTTTTCATCACTAGTAACAATTCTGCCCAAGAATGGCTCCTTTAACAAAACGGCAAATAAATTTTCGCCCCATATATATATTAGATTGTCGCTTTTCTTTTTTTTTCGGGTTTTGCCCGATTTTAGAATTACAAACAAAATTTGACATACTCACAGAAAGCATTTATTAGTCAAGTACATCGTCTCCTTGTTTTTAACAATTCTCTCCCATCGTTCTACAAGCTTGGTGATGCCATTTTCATAGAAACTTCGTGTTTTCTTTTTGGATGAAGATTGTGAGGTAGTCTTTGACTGATTGTACGGAGCCAATTCTTGAAGCTTGAGTCGTCCAAAGTTACGCGTGCCTTCAGTCAGTCCCTCAAACAGTATGGATATTTACTTGACCCCCCCCCATTGAGTCAGGTTGTGACACAAGGTCAGTTTTTAACGTAGGGACCCGAATGTTTTCACTCGGGCCGCTGGTCCAAGCTGGTCGTAGCTTGTCCAAGATGGTCAGAGCTGGTCTAAGCTAGTCATAGCTGGTCTTGGCTTGTCCGAGATGGTCCAGGCCGGAGCCGTTCCAAGATAGTCCTAGCTCGCAACATGCTCAGGCCACCTAAGACGCCGAGACAGCCGGATGGGATAGAGTGACCAAATGCCAGCTCTTTTGAGTACTTCTATATCCGGGAACTATCTTGCCATTTAATTTTATAATTTTTTCTTAAACTTTTCACGTGACAAATATTTAACCTTCTTTTCCTTACCAGCATGCAAAGGTTCACGTCTCATTTCCGAAGTGATGACAGGACGTATGTTTGGTAAATAGGTATTAGTTTCTATCCTATGCTTTCATGTTTCCTTGCAGTTTTCATTTCTTGAATGCAGCTGTGGCCTTTCTTACTTGTTAATTCCTCATCCATAGATAGAGTCGCTGTTATGGTGGATCCCAAATAAATAAACGTATCTACTCTTTTCAATAATATAATAGCATTGAAAATGCATCCCATATGAATTACAGAAAATTAAGAAAATTTGAAAGACGCTTCAATGATTTCTCTAACATTATCATCAAGCTAATATGTATATCAAGTGCACTTCAGCACTTCTGGAAACTTATGAAATGCGACAGTTGAGAAAAGCAATAAAACATCGTTTTATTTAAATATTTAAAAAAAATATACATTTTTTTCCGTTTGCATTTATATTTAATTGTATTTTCTCTAATTTTATATTCTTCATATTTTGCTACGGATAAAAAAATACCACTTACCGCGGTATCCTGCAGTCTACCACGCAAAATGTGCTGCTTTGCAACGTGTGGCTGACATAGGATTTATAACGCGCTAGACTGACTGCTTAGATGAAGGACATCCTCCTACGAGAAAAAGTGCAAGATAGAAAAAGAGAAATAGGGACGTAAAGAGAGAGAGAAAGAGAAAGAGAGAGAGAGAGAAAGACGGGCAGAAAGAGAGAGCGTTTTGTAAAAGTAATCATA